TTTCGATAACCTTCTCTTCATCACCAAGTTCTACAGTTATGCATCCATCCATAATAGCGAATGAATGAATGAATGAATTAGTGGTATTAACAACACTAATGTTGTTTAAATAACATTAAATCAATAATAATGATAATACCAATGGATTACAGATCAATAGCATCAATGTAACCATACATTGAGTGAATTTTAGAAAAATCATAATGCAAATTCATGAAATTGTGGTGTCCACTGAATACCTAACAGGACAGTAGTAGTGCCTGGTTGGACCGGTCATGATTCGTCAACTGAAAGATGAAGTACCTGGACTAGCCACTTCTAATTGTATCCACCAATTCAATTGCAAGTGTGGTTGTGGAGCGAGTTATATTAACAGTTTCTCAATGAACTTGATTTTTCATGCTCGCTCGGGAACATCTACCAGTGTGGTTAAATGAAGAGATGTAATGAGAGAAGCATCAGCAGGTTGACATTAGACCATCTGGTACGAACCGGGCCACAAAGTTAATAATTGAACAGTCGTTGTCTATCATCATCTATCGAGTAGCAGAAAAATGACTACCGAAAGCATCCAGGTATCGCATACTCCAAACAGCAGCGGTTATTGCAATCCACTTGAAATAACCACTGTGTTGTGTGTGTAGAAGAAACACTTACAACCAGGCACCATTACTTCCCTGACCGGCCTTCAGTGAATTTATATAATATTATTTCTCTCCAAATTTCTCTGGCATATATTCAGTGTATTGTTGTTTTGTTGCTATAGAACTGTAATCTGTTGATATTATAATTCTATATTCGATATTATTTAAACAACATTGATGCTGTTGATAACACTTATTCATTCATGAAGCGGAGGTTATCGAAAATGTGAATATTCTTTGCTCAGGAAGCACATGTTTTTGAAAAAAAACAGTCCATCAGTCTCCTGGTTGCCACGACTCGAAAGAACGCGAAAGTATAAGAGAGGTATGTACTGAAACTAAAATAGGTGAAAATACACGATTGACAAAATAACTAGGTGAAGATTTGATGATATTAAATGGTTGGAGGCAGTCGGTAGGAGGCCTTGGACCTAGATTTCGTGCTAGATGGCACTCACTAGTCTCACTTTCTCAGACTCGAACCCGCGTCACCCAGTGAGTACTGCATTCAAAGACCTTACCACTGAGAGCTATTCGGGCTTGTGACTGACCTCCTGTAGGACTGTAGTGGGTATTTTCATTGGACACCAATAACTAGTGTGACGTGTCTAGTTCTTTCTTTGGTGCAGACTGAATTCTATCAGTCAGTCAGGTTTTCAGTGTTGCCACCATGCCATCATGGGGCACATTGATTTGATGATATTAGATAGTTGGAAGCAATCGGCCAGAGGAAGCCTTGCTTGATCAAGGTTTCGTGCTAGTTGTCATAAGGTGAAGATTATTGAGGAGTTTCATGACATATTTTTTTGAGATAATTTGATGACGTAAATAATTACCATAATTAATTGTTATTTTTAACGCACAGAACCTGATGTACACACATATGTATAGAAAAATAAGTATACATATACAATTGCTGTTGTACAGCTACTAAGCGAATGAATTCACCTTCGAAAATAGACTCTTCTCTGAACTACGTGTTTTTTTCCATAAATGGTCTAAAACCATACTCTCTCTGACCTCCAACACCCCTCTATTCCCAACTCTCTCCTTGCATCTCATCAGGTAGAACCAGAAATCAGTACAAAATAATATATGCTCGTACAACCAAGTATAGGAACTCAAGGATACCATATTTGGCCCGTGTTCTAAGTGACAGAGACAATGTTAAGCGTGAAACCTATGACTTGCTTTGTTGTTAATAGCATAATTTTGGCCCTTGTTATTTCTCCCTTATACTCTCTTATTTGTACTCTATAGTGAACAACCTTCTTAAACATACTTAGCTACTTAATATTATTATCATTGACTTACTTTTTTGTACTTTACTCTATTCCTTCTTTTGTATATCTACTGGGTCCGACTATATTATCACTATGATTATTACAAAATTGTCCTGTCGTTAACCATCATGTAAAATTAGTTTTGTGGTTGTTTTTTGTTCGGCACTACTTAACTGACAATCAAAAAATAAAAAAATAAACACTGCATTAGTGCTGACAATAAAAAAAACCCTGAAGTGTTTATTGTATGATTGTTTAGTGTAGTTCAATCAAATTAACTGATCATCTTGGCTATAAACAATCTTAAGAACATCTCATAATTTCTTGTCTGATTATAGCTGTCACTGTTCACCACGCCTACACATATCATAGCTTCCACTAACCAATACTGAAATATTTTACATCCTACCTATTCTTCTTTATTGTTCACCCTTATTCTTTCCTGGTTTGCTTAAAAAGGACTATGTCACAATTCGTAGAATGCTGAAGACGGTCAGTAGGGTGAGTGGTGTCCCAGTGGACCACATAGTTAACGTCGTTGTCGATAGGCACTTGACTTCATGCAATAAATTTGCTGAAGGGATTTGTCTGACTTGGAGCATCCGCTTTACCCTCAGCTTCCTTTCATCTTGCATCTCCTCAGGTAGAACAAGGAGTAACTTCAGAAAACTGTATGCTCGCACGTCTAAGTATAAGAATTCTATGATACCATTCTTGGCACGTATTTTATGTGATAGGGAAAATAGTGTCAGGCAAGAATTAACTAACCTTTTTTCATCTAGTAAATAAACGATTTCCTCCATCCATCCTTATATACCTTCAAGTTTTACTTTTATTACTTCTATTATATTTATGGTCCTGTTACTTCTCTGTTTTACTCTCATAATTGCAAACACCAACTTATCTCCATGACGGCAGTAATCTTTGTTTTTCCCTTCACCATATCATGTAAAGAGAACATTATACTCAATATTTTTAAATATGTTAGGATTTCTATACCGCATTGCCAATACTGTGTGACACAAGCCAACGGCAATTTTCACTTGTATTCTTATTATTATTACCTTAGCTGTTATCATTATTATTGCTATTTCCATTTTATATGCTGCATGTTTTTGACATTACTCCTATTGTAAATGTGGAAAATTTTCTGTGTGATTAATTTTATTTATAATTTGAGGAAATTAGATGCAATATTGTGATTAATGCTGAAAATTCCATTCTGTATCACAAGTACTGTTTTTGGAATAAAGTAAATCATTATTATTATTTATCTTCCTTTCTACTTGGTATTTTTATTTGCATTTTTTTGTTATTTCTGTGTTTCTTTTCTGGTTTTTTGTTGTGTTTTTTTATATCTATTTTTTTGTAATACTCCTTTTAAATGTACGATGAAATTAGATGCAATATTGTAGATATGTGCTGAAGATTCCACACTGTACCACTAGTACTGTTCCTGGAACAAAAGCGAAACTATTATTATTATTATTAATAATATCCTGATAGGGATTATTCACAAATCAGTGGTTATATGTGTCAACATCGCTGTTAGTTTCTTGCAGATTGATTGTATCCTACTGAAGTGCTGAGTTTATGATAAAAATAATTTGCGTTTATTCCAAAACAGTACTTGCGATACACAGAATGGAATTCTCAGCATTTTACTACAGTATATTGCATCCAGTTGGTACATTAACAATAAATAAAATAAAATACATAGATTAAGGGTAATCTCAGTTCGTTTTGACAACAACATTTTGGCGTGTCGGCCGGTAGCAAAGCCAAAAGTGAACGGAATGTTTGAAGGTGTTAGAAAAGTAGATGCTAACTAGCATATTTACTGGCGTAAGCGGTAACAAAACTGTCGAGATATACAGAGTGTGAGAGAACGAAGAAGAATGTTTTACATAGAGTTTGTAAGGAAGAAAGAAACAAAGCAGCACACAACAGAAAAAAGAGAGAGAAAAGGAAAAGAAAGAAAGAAACAACACGTTGTACCTATAAATGATATGAGCTGGAAAGACGAGATCCAATTATTCTACTGACTATTTAATAAGTTATAGGTATCACGCCTAATGCTTTCTTTATCGCACAGAACACGAGCCAAGTAGGGTATGGTTGAGTTTTTATACTTGCTGGTGCGCGGATATAGTTTTCTATATAGGGTTCTGGTTTTGCCTGATGAGATACAAGGGGAGAGTTGTGGATGAAGCGGGTGTTTTGAGCTATGTGAATAGAAGGGATTTAGCCGATTTTTCACATGGATGGCATATCGATTGTGAGTACACGAATGCTTCAATGATGCCCTCAGATAAACCTCATTTTACTCTACTTATTTATATATATATATATATATATATATATATAGTTCAGTAACTTGATTTCCACAAACTACTTGATACTGCCTTTATTGTTCCCCTAAGTGTTGTGTTTTTTCAGAGACAGACAATGAAGATACCAGAATGAAATCAAAAATCATACTGAGAAGTATATATATTTTTTATCATGGTATGTATAAATGAATCGAGAGGATTACTGCATTTGTGTTCAAGCGATTATTTAGCCTATTTCTGAAGTTTACAAGTCCTCACAACACATGAAAACCTCTCAAGGCAACGGGCGTCGGTGGCATAGCGGTTAGGACGCTCGCCGACCATGCGCACGGTCTGAGGTTTGATCCCCGGCCGCCAACGCACTCCTTTACCTCGCTAAACCAGAAATAATCCTGGTAAAGAAGAAAGGTTGGGCATGAGGCTAGCAACCCCATCCTGTAAAATAAAAACACTACCACAGAAACTTCAAGCCACTAGGTCGAAGGCGCCCTACGTCCCACTGGGGAACATGAAGGGAAAAAAAGGCAATGGACGAAATTCGTTCAGTGTAGATTTACAAAACTCTAGACAGCATACTTCTGTTTCAAAGTTACTATTTTAGCATAAAAAAATTGCTTTAATTAATTATTATTTTTTCAGCGGTACATATAAAATTACATATTGGTCGGAAGAAAAACACCCGAGACTTTATGAATAAATATTTAATTTAAATTTTTAAAACAAAAAAACACATATCAATCATGGCAGAAACCAATGGAGAAAATAATGAGAGTGGAAAGTTACGGATGGTATGGTTGACAGTTTTCCAATGTTCGGTTTCTTTTTTATCTTATTTATTTAATTATTTCATAACTGAAGACACCTAGATGCGAACAGAGAGAGTACAGTAAGAGGGAAGGTAAAGAAAGATTCGTGATCACAATAGTTAGGAAGACCCGAGTGGAGCGTAAAGCTTCAGCAACACATCTCTTCACTTTCTTATACTTTGGCACTGTCCTCTCCAACTGGCTAGCCATACACAATCCCCTATAATCTCCTCCTCCCCCCCCTCCCAAGTCATGACATCTCCTCATTGTCAAAATAGCACCGACGGCGGACTGTTCGTTTCCCGTTCAACTTTAACTAGAGTGATGGCGTACATTCGGCGCAATGTAATTCGACGACCTCATGAGTGCATGCCCGATCTGTCACCATTTTCTTCTGGATGTTTGTTGAGAAGTTGATTCTTAATCGGTTTGTTGCCAGATCAACTTGTTGCTGTTTCTTTTTGTGGTCATCTGACATTCCAAATTGATCCACTGAAGTGTTGGCAGCTGTTGATAGAAATCTGTAAATTTTTGGAAATCCTTTCTGTGACGCACAGGCCATTTGTATAATCCTCACAGAAGCACTAACGGATTGACTGACTGACTGACTGAATTCACTGACATTTGTGTTGAAAATTTGAATCTCCTTTTTTTATGCAGATGAGTTGCTGGAGAAGATTTCCAAACTGGTTTAGTGGTTGGTGAAGGTATATCTTGCATTTCTCACTCTCTCCGGCTGGTTGGATGATTTTCACATCTTCACCCGTTTCGACTGCTTGTGGTTGAAACGTTGTTGCAGCGTAGGCTAGGTAAGATAATTGAAAGAAGGGAGTAACCTCTTTCAACCTCTTTCTCCCGTTCAACGTGGTTGGTGCTGGTTGTTGTTGTTGCTGTTGATGGTGGTGGTGGTGGTTGGTTGGTTCATCACCTCCGTTTCTATCTTCTGTATGTTCATCACATGGGTGGAGTCAGTCTTATTTTTGCTGTCTGACAGTCAACCAACCACCCACCTACCCAGCCAGCCTGTTCAACCAGTTTGTTGCCAGTTTTCGCCTGCCTGCAAATCTTCCAGTTTGTGTTTGTGTGACATTCAACGGAAAAATCATCCACTGGAGAAATGCAGAACTTCAAGATTCTTGTTATATTGGTGAGTGCAGCGTATTCCTTCGTGTCTTCTCACTCAATCAATGCCAACGCACAGTGTGACGCATAACCCGGTTCAGTCAACCACAATATCATCCATGGTAGCCAGCTTGTCTTACTGTTGTATTCACTTCGAATGCTCCTCTGACTTTTCCACTGTGAATTACCTGGCACCTGATATTGCCATATATCTGTAGCCTGTTGAATAGGATTGATAAAGGCTTGGGGCATTGCAATTCATTGTGCTGAAGTAGTTTCCAAATTATTTGTCGGTCGACGCTGTCTGTTGAAGGCCTTTTCGAAGTCGATTAGGAAGATAGGTTTGACTGCCATTCTTTGTTTTGTTCTGTGATGGTGATGCATAGAGTTGTAATTTGATGAGCACATGATTTGCCTTTCCTGAACCCAGCTTTTTCTGGCGAGCGGAGTTCTGCATTCAATGCATCTTTTAGTTCTCTCCAGGATGACACGACTTCTTATTCTCATTGGCATGGACAACAGCATTATTACACGCCAGTTATTTTCGAGTGAGGCGTCAGCCACCCTCTATAGCAGCTTAATAAGGTAGTCAGTCTTTCTTCCAATCATTGGGCTCCTTTCCTTCCTGCCTATCAACGCATTTGCAATAATGACGTGAACACTTGTGCCACAGTCTCTGGGTCTGTTTTCAGTGCTTCTGAAAGAGTTTCTTCTGGCCTTGCTGTACTCAAGGCATCCGCCTTTGTTGGAGGATTAGTGTCTACTGGCAGGCAGTTCCATGCGTGCTGTTGGTGATGGTGGTATTTCTAAGTGATTTGCAGGTGAAGGTTGATTTAAGAGTCCTGTAAAGTGATCAGGTCATTGTTTTATTTGGTTCTCCTCCTTGTTAATTAGGTTTCCATGACCATCTGTTATATGTTTCCTCTGTGTTGATCTCTTCCTGGATAGAGACCTGGCTATCTGATGCAATGTTCTGAGTTCTCTTTTACCTGCGGCTGCCTGTTCTGCTTCAGTTACTGTTAGCCAGTGTGTCATAGAATTGTCACTTGTCTCTCTTCTCTAGAACTCCTCATTCCTTCTTTATTTAGTGACTATTCACTAGTCTAGTTTACTAGATCACTCATTTTCTAACCGGTCCCAAGCCCAGGAAAAGAGGGAGGGTTGGGCGTGGGGCTAACGATCCCATCCCAGAAAGTCAATCCAAATGCTACAGAAACTTATGATTACATATAATTGCCAAACAGTGAATGCAGAGAGGACGAAATTCTTTCTTCAGCTCAATAAATCAATACCATGTGTTTTGTTTTAATTTCTTCAGTTCTCTAAAATGGAGTGTAACTGTTCTCCACATGAACTATATTACAAGTTTACTTGTAATTTGTCCGAAAACCTTCAGCAGTATAACAAATACCCAATCTCCAGTAGTTTGAAAGTACGAAAAATGGAATAAAGACATCTGAAAGCCACTTTACCAATTGTACAGGCAATATAATGATGTGATATATATCCTTCTTTGTGAAATATAGGACTTCAATCTTTATGAAGTTACATTAGCACTAGTGTGGCGCGCCCTACTGATAACGCTTATCAGTAGTAGTAGTACATAAGAAGACATATATCGGGATAAAAGCACCAAATAGCAGGGAGACAGATAGATTTGATGTCGGGGAAAACAAAGGATACAACATTGCGTAGATAAATGACAGAAGTGAAAGGAACAAGAAGAAACACAATACCGGTAGGGGAGGGGGGGAGGCAGAAGTGTAGCACAACACTGAAAGCCTGTGAAAATGGTACGTTGAAGATAAGGTGTGCATAATTTGTCTATCTAGACATACCATTAAACCAAGTCTCCTGTCTTCTACAGTTACACTAGTGTTGTATTTTACATGGCTTACTATAAGGACGAGTCAGGCGGCAATCACTGACTGACTGACTGGCTGACTGACCGGTGAGCATTCTGTCATTCACCCACTGATACAGCTGATAATGCGTATACAAATAAAAATTTGAATGAAATAAGAAAGCTCGAATGAAATTCGCCAATTTTTCAAGTTCTGTGCATTATCAGTAGTTCACTCAGAATTCAGGCAGTTCGCAATGGATTGATTGACTTAGCTCTCTGTGTGAGCTCAATAACACCGTGTACATTGCTTTGGAATTTAACCACAAACAATCATCTCATATTTGCAATATTTCTGTCTCGTTAGTAAGGCCTTCTGTTCTATATGAGTGGTATCAATCATCTCATATCATATCATACTATAATGTATAATCATAGGCTTATAACTTCCTATATTGAATGTGCAGTAACTGTCTAAAGTCGACATCTGAAGGCCATAAGTTACAAGGCGATATAGACCAATCTGAGCATTCATTCATCAGTGCTCACTAACTATCCGTCCTAGTGTAATTAATCCATGTAAACTCTGGTATACAGTTACGGGATAAACTGTAGACCATTTTTAATAAAGAAACTAGAAACACAACGCTATGATATGATCAACGCGGAACTTGTATCATTTTAATTACTCAGGTTATACTGGCGTATTTTATTTCATTTCGACTATTGTTTTATGACAACTTAATCATCGTTCACCGGCATCGGTGAGTAATTCTATTTACGTTGTCAAGTTGGCCGATTGGTAAAGAAAGCAAAACCAAGTGTACATTGTTGGATTTGATAAAGGCAGCATGTGCCTACATAATGAAAGTAGCCTGTTATATTTGTATTGATTTTGTCATTTAATGAGAGAAATCAGGGGTATTGTGTTGTAACCAAGTCAAATTCTGTTTTAGTCCATCATCCATATTTAGTTCAGACAATTTGGATTTCATTTGATATGAAGTGCTTCTGATGGTAACAGATTTCCTTTGTGATTTCTGAATGATGATTTCAATATTGACCTGATTCTATGTCGTAGTGTGTAGACGACCTATGGATGATGATTTTTCAAGCTATTCTAGTTGATGAACTCGATTTCTCGGTGGTCAAACAGATGCTGTACGGTGTTCAGTTCTTCCGATTGCCATGATTTCTCTGTGGCGATGTCTGTCCAATGTGTATCAGCCCATGACATTGCAAGCATTCTGATTTGTAGACACAATTAGATTAAGAATCTTGAGGGATTTGATCTCTTACATGGACAGGGTTGCTTCGTAGTCCGTGTGTGTGCGTGTCTGATGTTTTGAAGAAAACTCTTATGTTGTGCTGACGTTGAGTACTTTTCTGATGACATCGTCTGACATTTCCGATCTATATGGAATGAAAATTGGTGAAGTCCATTCATGTTTTCGAAATATATTTTTGACTATATTTAATGTCCGTGTTGATTCTGTTGACAAAGTTCTTTGGGTCGTATAATATTGTTGTAAAATTGTATTTTTATGTGCTTTATTCTGCTTCATTATACCACTAAAAGAAGATAATGGCCTAAAAGACAGAACACAGTTATCCATAGAAGAGATAATAAAAGGGGTGGAATTCTGTCTGACAACAACGACATATTTCACATTCGAAGGGAAAATATACCAACACAAAATGAAGGAGTAGCTATGGGATCGCCTATCTCACCAATCATAGCTGACGTATTCATGAATTATTGCCCTTAAAGCATTCAGGTCATCACTAAAATGTTGGTGGAGATATGTAGACGACACACTAGTAATGGTGAAAAAACGATACTGAGAAACTTTTCTCACACATAAACAGCCACGTCGACTCAATAAAATTAACTATGGAAATAGAGAATGAAATCGGGGAACTGCCTATGTTAGACTGCAAACTACAAAGAATAACAGATGGTAGCATAAAAACAACGATATATAGAAAAACCACACACTGGAAGATTCCATGATTATCACTCAGCTCATCCACTCATGGTGAAACGAGAATTAATACAAGGTCTTGCAGATAGAATACGCAGACTTACAACAACACCAGAGGACCAGTGTCAACAAATAAAAGTCCTATTCAAAATTCTACTCGAAAACAACTACCCAAAAGAATTTATAAAAGATAATATAAAAAAAGAGAAAAAAGAGGGTAAAACCGGAGAATAACAAGATGGAAGAATGCAAAAAAACCGTCAGAATACCATATAAAAATGGTACATAAGGGGCAATTCAAAGAAACCTCAAAAATATCGGCATTCCAACAACGTTTAAACCGGCGAATCTAATCAAAATAAAATAAATCCACTGAAAGATCCTATAAAAATGACGGATAAAAACAATTTGATTTACAAAATATCTTGTTCTGACTGACTGGCCGACTAAATATGTGGGGCAAACACATCCAGATCACTCAGAATAACAGTGAGTGGACATAAACGCCTAACCAACAGGAACACAAGCTTACAAGAATCTTGAAAAACATTCATCGATAGCTGCACATGCATGGGACAAAAACCACAATATCGATTGGAACAATCTGTGTATTCTAAAAACTAACATGAACAAAAATGGAAAGAAAGACTTATAACGGAATCGATATTCATTGAAGTCACACCGGATACATGTAACAAAAGTGACTCAGTACGACTATCAACAACTTGGAATATAATTCTGGTGTGAACACGGGCAGTAATTTTGCTTGAAATATTACCAATAACAAAACTTATCAATTGTGTATAAACTATTGAAATATAATTATACTTTATTTGATCTAATCCCCAATACTCAAACTTTTTACTGATATTAATCTTCTGGCTTTATTTTTATCTGTCTTTAATGAACCACTTACTTATAGCTGAAGATATGTTCGTCAGAAGTAAAAACAAATGGAGGGCCTAGTCTAATGAATGGTGTACACAATGACGAAGAAGGAGAAGAGGAATTTATAAGAGAAGTGGAAAAATATGATTTCATTCGATTGAGTTTCCCCGATGTTAATGGGATTCATTTAAGTAAATTAGTGTCGACAAGATTTGCACGAAAAGTTGCCAAAGGGTTAAGTGAAGTTTACTCAGGCTCAATTACAACTGGACCTCGAGGTGAAGTAAGCAGAGGTTGTTGTTTTTCTTTTCACTGTTTTCTTTTGTTTTTTTGTTTTCCAATTCGTTGTATTACCGCTTACAGCCTAATGTCAGTTACTTGGTGAATACAGACTACTGTCTAAATTGAAGGCTTCACTTCTATGATTTGGATAATCCCTAAGAAAAAAACACGTAGAACAGAGAAGAGTCTCTTTTCGCCAGCGAATTCATTTTCTCAGCTATACAATCAAAAATATATGCTCATGTGTTATTTTGTATGTATGTGTACATTACGTTTGTCAAACAAAAATAGACAATTGGTTAGGGTTATTTTAACTAAACAAGTGAAGATTGGTAATACAAAATCAGTCAAGAAAATTAAGTGTTAATGAAATTAGGGTAGTAAAAAGGGTGATGATTTGTCACAAACACTTGTTAAAAAGGAAGTTATGTAATAATAATATGAATAGTTTGATGAGTGAGTTTTACTCAGGATGTACATAGAAACAAAGTAGATAATAAGAAATTATGTAAGAGATCTAAATGAATACAAGAATTATAAGTAATTAAAGAACAGGCAAAGAAATAAAATTAAGTCATCAAAATAAAAAAAAATCAAATCAAAAAATGTTATTACCATGACAGTAGAAGTGGTTGAGTAATCCTCTTTTGTATGCACAGCTCCGATTTTTCTGTGTGAATGACCAGAGCTTCAGCGATACAAAGAAGACGAAACCGTATTTCCTATGGTAGGTTATTGCTGATTCTGTAGATTACTTTGACGGAGGCGTTTGTTGAAATGGAATGGTCACTCTTAACCAGGTGTTCAATTATCACACTCCTTATTGCATCACTATTGCCTTTTCGCAACCATGCTGGCCGGATAGTGTTCTTGAATCCTCTTGGACAGGGTGCGCGTCGAACGACCGATTTACCTGGCTCCACAGCAGCAGGTGAACTGATATATGCACATAGAAGTGGTCAGATGTGGGATCTTGTCCTTGAGGTTTCTGCAGATCAGTGGGTGACTGGAGAACACTATTCTTAGCGTTGCTGCAAAGAATATTCTTCTCAGAGATGATGTGTTCCTTCTCTTGAGAATATCGCTTGCTAAATCTTCCTTGAAATCCAAGTTCATGTAGAGTTTCTTTTTAGGCGCTAGTGAGGTTTCGTTTCTCTGAATTTTTTTTGGTTTGATATTTTTGTCGGTGAATCTTATTGGGCATCCATTTTGGATGAAGATTTCTCTTAGAATGTCTAATTCTGTTTCCAGAACGTCGGGACTACAGATGCGTCGTGGGATTCGGGTGGCAAGTGATTTAATTAACTTCCGCTTTTTTTTTGAATGGGTACCCAGTTATAGAAGCTTGTTAGTTGACCATTCCACGTAGGTTTTCTATGGATTGATCTTCTTAGGCTTCCATCAGTTCTTCTTGTTGGTTCCACATCAAGAAACAAAATTTTTGACTCGTTTTCCATTTCAAGATTGAATTTTATTGCTGGATGGCAACAGTTAAATATCTTCATCAGTAGATTGTGGTCATTGCTGTTGTAACAAATAATGAATATACCGTCCACATCTATTTTATACAGTTGTATATTGTCAATGCTCGGCTATAGTGAACCTCTCTCAAGGCTTGCCACGAAGCAATCTGATAGTAGTGAACCCAACGGAGATCTCATTGTAATACCATCTTTTTGTCTATAGACGGTGTTGTTGAAAGTGAAATGGACATCCAGAGTGCATCTTAGTAGTAATTCCTTTAAATATGTCGTTGGTATTTCAATATTGAATATCATATCAATTGTCATATTGTAACAACAGAAGACAAGGGCCAGGCAACAGATCGTTTTATTATGAAAATCAACACGTATTTATACATATTTCACATACATTATTGTAGCTTATGCAAGTAGACAAGCGCAGTCATCTGATTGGTTGTTTATCAGAAGTTAGGCAGACAAACGCAGGCTTCTGATTGGTTGTTTCGGGATTCCTCGACAAATAGAGTTCTCTATCTGCGAATCATATTTTGCCACGTTAACTTTGCTGTGATTGGTTGTTGAATCAGCCTTGCTCATATTTTCTCACGGCCTGCTGTCACCACAATATCACAACTGATATGATTATGAATAATAAATTTTGTTCAAAACGTCACCCAGTAAATAATACTGTTTCACTGTGTTATACATCTAATAAACAAACCAATATGGAATTACTTAGTACCACAGTGCCTAAGTTTTACACATTTGTTGTACAGAGTAAGAAGATCGCACCAACATTGTTTATTTCGTTCGTTGACTACTCATCAGCTCAGCTGAGCACAGCCTAAATAAATAATTATTTAGAGAACCATTGGAAAACCAGTTGGGAGTACTGGACAGCTGTTTCAGTTGTCCTAGTTCGGGACTCTTCATCAGTACTCACCCACCGGGATTCGAATCCAGGACCTTCTGGTTACAAGGCGAGCTAGCTCGTAGACCATTAGGCAGCCACCGGGACCCGATTCAATGGCCCATGAATTCTAACTTCTGCCAATTCGCGACATAGCGCGATCCCTAGACAATGTCTTCGGTGGCGAGTATTTGTCCTCACCTCACACCCGACCGGCTGCACCCTTGTAACCAGAAGGTCCTGAGTTCGAATTCCGGTGGGTGCGTACTGATTAAGAATCTCAAACCAAGACGAAACAGCTGTCCAGTACTCCCAGCTGGTTTTCCAATGCTTCTCCAACTGATGTCAGCTCATGATGAAATCCTGAAACCAATCAAACCCTTACAAACCAACACTTGAATAAATAATAATTACTATTAAAATTTATGTACAAAGAAATGTCAACATACTCGCAAATTTTACATGAGGTCAGTTGACAAGAGGTTCCGAATTCAGTGAACGATGATCAGAAAACTACGCTTATATAGTTTTTACACAGGCAATTCAAGTTTAAACAAAGCAAATGTATGCATACAGTGGTAAAGGAGTTATGTGATAAAGACGAGAGCTGTGTGAGATAATGGATGAGTAACTTATACATTGGGTAACAATGTACTGAGTTCAACTCAAATCACACGAACAAGAGACAAGCAAGATTACACTATACCAGAGCAGAGGTGGGGATGGATGGGTTAAAGCCACAGATTATTATTATTCCCTTGGGTTCCTAGTGGAACATAGGGCTTCAACTGCACGTCTCCATTGGCTTCTGTCTTTTGCTGTACTTTTCACCTGCATCCATGTTAGTCCATACTGTTTCAGCTCCTCTTCACACGGTCTCCTCCATATCACCCTTGTACTGACGACCAACTCGCCACGTGCCTCCTCCCTTTCGGGTTCCGCTCGAGCAGTGGCCTGACGCGTGATGTCACTCAGCGGCGGCCTCCTCAGTGAGTGGCCAATCCATCTCCACTTTCTCCTGCATATTTGTTGAGGAGTTGGTTCTAGCTTTGTTTGTTCGCATAGTTTGGTGCTTGTTGGTGATTCTTTCCGCCCCCCACCCCACCTGGCCATCTCATCTTCAGTATAGATCCAGCGAAGACAGGTAGGTAGTTGTTGATAAAGGTAACGTCTGCAACAGGCTGTTGGTGGAAATATTCTTTGTGACCCACTCGCCAACCTTCTGATCCGTTCTACACAGAAGGACTGACTGACTGACTTGACGTGTTTGTATTGAAAATCCGACCGAATTTTGTTGTTGATGTTGGCTGAGTGACGAAGATAGGTTTCCGGATTGGTTTCAGGTTGATGAATGTGTTTCTCGCCGCCCTCCCCGATTCTCGCTCGATTTGACATCCTCGTCGGTTCCGACTGCCTGTATTTGAAACAATGCTCCAGTTACCAGACAACAGGGCAAGGAAACACTAGTTATAACTGCTTCTTTCTGAACACATAGAAAATCGAGTTTCACCCGTTTAATGCAGATGCTTTGGCAAACTTTAGGATAATTTTAAGGGATTTTGCGATCCCCACCTCATGAGTCGTATCAAGGAGATGCCTGGTAATGGCGCCATTGTAAGCGTTTGTTTCCTTGAGGAGTAAGCGTTTCGGCATACATATTTAGAAAGTCGGAGGTGTGGCCTTCTTTCCGTTCTCCCAGTGTAACTGCTCCCGAAGATACACGTAAATTCGTATACGGAGTTTGAGTTGTTAAAATGAGAGAGGTTGGTGTCTGTCGACTTTCGATTGCACTAGAATGGGGCTTGTTGTCCGATAAATGGGAACCAACTTAGCTAGCTGCATGACAGGCTCTAGCTAGTGACGTGCTCTATCTTCCATTGACCCTTGCTTCAATATTTTCACCTTTAAAATCGAGTTTAATGAGGGTGATTTGTTTGTCATTTGAGCCTTCACATCCCCCATATTTGTTAATGAGTCTCTCAGAGTAACCGTTGTTTTTCAACATCTTCTTGACAGTCAGAAATTCTTCCTGTAATTTTGCTACTAAGAATTTTCTCCTACCGCTATAGTGCAGAGTCCTGACCATTGCTCGTTTATAGTCAGCTGTTTTAACAAAAGCTGTTAAAATGTAAGTATTGTCCATTCTATGTAGGCTTTCATACAACTGACCTCCAGGTTGTTAGTACTAGTATGAATAATTCAACTAGACATTTCACTTGGACATTTTGGATATTGGTTATTAACGAATTCTTTCAAGACAACTCAGAAGTCTTTAGAAATACAGCTATTCTTCACTATGACAACTAAATAGCATTTCATTTAATTTGTTCCCTGTCAAGTGTATATTGCTTAAAAGACCATTTGATCAAATATGTCCTGTTATATATGACTACCATTTTTAATACCTTACTTTATCTCAAATTATTATTATTCCCTTGGTTTCGAAGTGGAACATAGGGCTTCAACAACACATCTCCGCTTCGCTGTATTTAGTGCTGCGCTCTTCAGCTAGGCTCACGATTGCTCATTAGCTATCATCTAATTCTCAATCCCCCGGCTGGTTGGCTATTTGGTCTTCAGTATGGAGCCAGGAAAGGTTGGGTATGAGGCTAGCAACCCCATCCTGTAAAATAAACTCTGCTACAGAAACTTCAAGCTACTAGCTTGAAGCCCTATGTTCCACTGAGGAACGTGAAGGAAAAATTATTTATTATATTTATGGAGCCAGTCAGCCAGCGAAGTGGGCAGCTGTTGATAAACGTCTGCAGTGGTTTAATGTACGTGAAGTGAGAGTTTCTCACCTATACAGAAGCACTAACTACCCGAGTGACTGACTGGCTGACTTCTCTGAAATTTGTCTTCAAAACCCGAATCTTGTTCTCTATGCTGCTGAGGTGGAGTGTAGAAGATTTCCAAACTGATTTCAGACTGGTTGTCTTCATCAGCCTCTGTCTCCACCTTCTGTGTGTTCATCTGGATAAAGTTTTGTCTCCGCTGCAGCCAGCCAGTTGGTTACCAGTTTTTGCCTGCTTGTAGTTCTTCGAGATTGTGTTTGGGTGACATTCAACAGCATCAATCATCCACACGCGAAATCCAGATCTTCTGGAATCTTATTATATCGGAGGGTGCAGCGTATTCCTTCATGTCTTCTCACTCACTCAATCACTCACAACGCAAAGTCTGACTCATGATCCATTCCAACACATTTGAGAATATCATCGGTGATAAAATATCTCATTATATAGTTTAGATAGTTTTTAGCTATCAGTACGATCTGTCTTTTATACTGATTCATTAGATTGAAGACGTTCCGCTTGTTTAACCTTGAGTTAGAACTTACTGCACTGTGATCGCCTCACTTGGTTTATTAGGTCGTTCTCTAGCCTGTCCCAAGACTGGGTAATGAAGGAAGTTTGGGTATGGAGCATGATCGTACATCACAAAACCTATGCAATCGCTACAGAAACTTCAGTGCACAAAAAATATATTAAAAATTAAGAAATTGAAAAACAAGCCTACCATTTAGTTTGGCTTGTAAGGGTTAGTTTTGTTTTTACGAGTTGATCACGGATTGATATCAGTTAGAGAACCATTGAAAACCAGGGAGTACTGGACAGCTGTTTTATTCCATTTCAGGAATTGTCGGCAGTACGCACCCACTGGGGTTCGAACTCAGGACCCTGGTTTTCAATGGTTCTCTAACTGATATCGATCCGTGATCAACTCGTAAAAACTAATTCTTCGCTGGAATCGGAGAGGAGAAATGACGTCACAGGCTGGTGAAGGCCCACTTTCGGGAAGCCAGTTAGCCAGGGGATGTGTCTTCTTTCGATGAAAGCTAGAATAAGAATGGAGAAGGCTGCCCAGGTAGCCAAAGAAATGAGAAGATATGACATAGAAGCGCTGAGAATCTGTGCGAGAGCAGATGGATGGAATGGACGTGGAACTGTAATCGTGGAGTTATCGTCATCAACGCTTCCTCGGCAAAAATGATTTAATTCTGCTTTGATTTATACAAAGACTGTAATCCTCGCTGCTTTGTTTGTGTCCTGTACAGTGTGTTTGAAAAATGGTCACCAAATGTGAACATTTCACCGGAAATACCTGTGAAAAGTCAGTATCCATAAGAAAGGGAGTTCACTGTTCACTGCAGTAACTTGTTATCTCCAATTCCTCTCAGTATATTTTTTTTAAAAACACGAAGTAATGCCCCTGAACTATCTTTCCTCTAATACAGTTGAAAAATCACTGACTTGGAATATGTCAGTCTTCTTTTATTCTATTGATTAAATGGGTATCAGGTGTTTGCCTTATTTGAATACCGCTAGCCAGATAACTTGACACGTGATAGGAAGATTACACAAACAGATCATGCCTTATAAGGTAGAAGAAGTCTTACTAAAATATTTTTGTGAAGATGAACAGATTTTGCCTCACTTTCTTTCACATAAGTCATACTGGTATGTCAGTATACACACACACGCACACACCAGGGGACTACTTAATATATGGTGCCTTTTTTAGTACTACACTCCCATGTATATCATAGGTGAAAGCTGACCATCTCAGATCCGTGTGGGCTTATAACTGCTTTCCTCAGATGCTAGGAGCTGAAAAGCTGGAGGCTTTCAACCCTCATTGTTTTGGTGCATGTCTGAATCAAGTGGTTGACTGCATACTGATATAGCCACTAATATACTTGTAATTGCACTAAAGAATTTCCTATGTAGTCGATTTGCAAGCCTATTCTTCTGACCACCATTAGCAACAACAACAACGACGCGATACGATACCAGTGGAAGGAACTATATATATATATGATAAGTGTCAGTGGACATCAGAGATTGTAGGTACATTACCTTGTCAGGCAAAAAGCCGAAGTTTGTGTTCATTATGACAGGGACCGCAGTTAAGTGTATTGGTATACGTTTGGGAGCTCTCTACCAACCACTACCTCCTTGATTTCTTGGAAATATGAAATTCATTCGGTGTTAAATGATTAATAGATTTTTTAGATTTTTTTTTTAGATTTTTAGATTTACAGCTTGATTCCACACTGTATTTTTGGTACAAGTATGGAATTTTCAGCATGGATATCGGTAGCCCAAATTTCGCAGGCCAACCATAGATATCAGTTACGAGAGTAAATGATCCTGTTAGAATTCATATTTAGGTGATAAATAAATGTGAGTAAACGGTAGATTGGATCCAATATGTAGATACTAGAATAGCTGGCCCAGAAATCTGAACAGGCCGCCAGGTCAAGGTCATAAAGACTATACCTTATAACTCAGGATGTTAAAGGTTGTCAGCAGGGTAAGCAACGTGCCACTTAACCAACCAGCTTGTTACTATTCTGGTTGACAGGCACTTGGACTCATGTGAAAAATGGGCTAAATCCATTCTATTTACATAACTCACACCGCCACCCTCTTCATTCACAACTCTCGCCTTGTATCTCATCAGGAAGAACCAGAAGCCTATATAGAAAACCATATGCTCGCACTACCAAGTACAGAAACTCAACCATACCCTACTTGGCTCGTGTTCTGTGCGATAAAGAAGAAAGCATTAGGCGTGATACCTACAACTTATTAAATAGTCAGTAGAATAATTGGATCTCGTCTTTCCAGCTCATATCATCTATAGGTACAACGTTTTTCTTTATTTTTTCTTCCTTTCTCTTTTTTTCCCTTATGTGCTGCCTTGTTTCTTTCTTCCTTACAAACTCTATGTAAAACATTCTTCTTCGTTCTTTTACACTCTATATATCTCGACAGTTTTGTTACCGTTTACGCCAGTAAATATGCTAGTTAGCATCTACTTTTCTAACACCTTCAAACACTGTTCAATTTTGGCTTTGCTACCGACCGATATGCCAGTATGTTGTTGTCAAAAGTAATCAAGATTCCTCTTAATCTATGTAGAATTTTATTTATTTTTGATGTACAAACTGGATGCAATACTGTAGTAAAATGCTGAGAATTCCATTCTGTGTATCACAAGTACTGTTTTGGAATAAAGCAAATTATATATATATATAAAATAGATTTCGCACTAGAGGAGCTAGTCTGCCCGTTCCCACCATTAAAGGCTTCTGGGAATTCTGTTTGCTTCTGAAGCCACTTAGGAACATTTTATGAAGTCAGAGCTTACTCACAGAGATATATGAGTCCTCTCTCCTGTGTGTGTGTGTCTACACATACATTCAAATTGGAAAATACATTAGGAGGGTATTCTAAGGGCTTAGATGGATATATAGGCTTCACACTCTCAATTATTATTATCTTAGCCGCATAAAAATCTTTTTTATCCGCAGTGTTCAACCCTTGTCGAGTTATCAAGCTGCTTTGATCAGCCGTGGTTAGGGTAGCGTGACATATGCGTCTTCCTTAGTGGGCAGTTTGAGGGTTGATCTTGATGTTCCACTGGTCACTTTGCTTCTCTTAATCGACTTGTCTGGATAATTATTATCAACCGGAGTTTGTGTCAGCCTTCTTTTTTCGTCATCATGTTTGTCTTTCGTGCATATTCTTCGGATTCTACTGAAGAGGTACCTCACTCACTAACGCTGAGTGAGGGCAGGAACTGTAATAATATAAGATACTGTCCTGTCCAGGTAGGTTTTCTGTAAACGGATCGCTTTATCTATCCATCAAGCCGCCAGCTAAGGAATATATCTCGGGAGGATAAACAATTATTTACCTATTTGAATGTACGTATGGTCACACATACACAGATAGGGAGGACTCATCCACCTGTGCAAATAAGAGCTAGCTCCCGAACATATTCCTGAATGGCTTCAGAAGCAAACAGAATCGCCAGAACCCATGGATTAATGGTGAGAGTAGACGACCTAGTTTTTCTATGGTGAAACATTTTACAGAGGAGACAGTACACAAAATTGATGTTTACATGTCTTTTAAACTTATCAATGGAACATGTTTAGGAGGGGTCGTATCCTGAAGTCTGTGGAAGCTAACCCTAGCTAGCAATTAGGAGGCTTCAACTGCCTTTATGCGTTCAAAGCAACAATTCGTCATCCCACTAAACCTTCCTTGGTATTTTGACCCTCAGTATGTCCTCTGAACTTGATCCAAGTCTATTTTCTCACCTCTGAAGTCTCGATTAATTTCATATGATAAGTCCTTGTGTGTGTGATCAGGTTGTTCAACACATGTCTTCTTATTGTTTTGTTGAGATTCATAAAGGGAACCAAATGTTTTTTTTTCTTACTTTCAGGTATTCGATATGCAAGAAATTATTGAAAGAAAGCATGTTAACAGTAAAGTGAAACCGGACTTTTCAACCCTACATCCTTGTCCTTGGGTATCAAAAGAGAATCTAAGTAATCACTCTTACAACGGTAACACAGATAATGATGATATCAACCCAAAATGCCAAAAATATTCAGTTTGTGCTGTTCTATGCGATTTAGTATGGCCAAATAATGAACTGGTTAAAGCCCATCCAAGGGTTGTTGTAAAAAATCTGATTCGTGAACTACAAACCAAATACAATTTACGCTTGTTTTCTGCTTTTGAACCAGAATTTAGAGTATTCAAAAAGGGTACTTTTGAGACAGCATGTCTGAAGCCATCACCGACAAAGAAACCGGAGTCTTGTTCATTTAATTTACCGATACCGTATACAAAGTTTAGTGATATTTACAGGACAAGTTTACTGTCGGTATATGAAGATTTATTCGCTGATATTGAGCACAATATGCATTTAGCTAAAATCAGTGTACAAGATTATAGTAATGAAGACGGTGAAGGACAGTTGGAATGCCCACTGATGCCGACATGGGGAATATCTGCGGCGGATAACTACTTTATATTTAAGCAAGCTGTGAAAGAAATCGGTGTGAAACATGATATGGAGATTTCATTTATGACGAGACCTTTGTTGAACAGTAGTTCCAGTGGTTGTCATTATAATCATTCCTTGTGGTATGCTGATAGCAATCGTAATGCATTTTATGACGAACAAGGTAAGTCTCATTTTTTTGTGTAACAAGAGGGTACATACAAAATGTATTCACACTTTGCATAAAAATCAAGCTATACTTCATATCTGCTGTCTTTAAATTCTAGGGCAAAATATATAGACAAATAGGAGTTGTAGCAATGCGATGGATCACCAGTATACCCTATCTTACCAGATATATTTATGGACAGCTGCGAAAATATGGCTCTTAATACATTCACCTAGTCGTACTCCAAAAACTATGGTGGAGATATGTGGATGACACTTTCACACACACAGTGTTAAAAATAGAACATATCTGTCTCTAGCTACTTGACACATTATAAACTCACAAGTAGAGGGAATAAAATTCATATTTGAATCGGAAAATGAACAAGAAGAATTATCTATTGATGTAAGTATAAAATTTGGGCATTTTGATAGAGTATAACTCCACTTTAGATAAGATTTTATTTTGATAAATCACACAGTGTGCTGGTAACGTCTTCAGTTAATGTTACTGTACAACATCGTGTGATTTATCAAAATAAAATCTTATCTATAATGGGAATTAGCCACGTTTGATTGTAAAATAAAACGAATAGAAGAAGGTAAACTGCACACTAGTGTTTATGGAAAACCAACGCATTCTGCTAATAGATATTTAGACTTTAATTCATCTCATTCGCTAACTGTTAAGGCAGGCTTAATGAAGTGTCTAACAAACCGAGCGATGGCACTAAGTAGCACAAGAAATGACCTAAATGATGAAATGAAACAGACAGACGAAACGTTGGTATCAAATAGCTAACTATCCTATAAAATTCATTAGGAAGATTAGAAAAGGTCGAAGTAAAATAATGGGGAAACTGATAATCAAAACATAAATAAGAGAGAATATAAGGTATCTACATTAATTTTGCCAAATAAGGAGGGGACATTTGAGGCTCTACGTAGGATTCTAAATAAAGCAGGAATCAGGGTGGGATTCAAACCTACAAACTCACTCAAAGATAAGCTCTGTATGTTGGGTTGACCTAATTAGACAAAATAATTTACGAAACACCTTGTAATGACTGTGAGGCTAGGTCAACCACTTAGGTCAAACTAACAGATGAGGAGCAGTGAGATTATCAGAACATAAGAATTTAGCTAAAGTTAGAATGAATGCTCCCGAGAAGCTAAGCTCAGCACTACATTGCACTGTATACATTAACACACAAGCACACAGTAGGATGGTGGGAGAGGCTTAATATTCTAAGAAATGATATAGGTAGGTGGAGAGAGATAGAAAGGTTGATTACTGAATCTGTTTTCATCGAATAATCTACACTCAACACGTGAAATCAGGCATGACTCATCATTAATACAATGAATGTAGAATATATTACCACCAATGAAATCAAGAGATGAGAAATAGTGAGTAACCTGATATGAAGCGTGGTCAACAGATGGTATTACTGTATAGCATACTGTATGACTTTATCAAAATAAATTTTATCTATAATGGAATTCGAGTATTGATTTGTAGGGATTTGGTTGATTGGTTACCGGATTTCATTATGAGCCGACATTGCTTAGAGAACCATTGGAAAACCTGAGGTTCTAGTGGGAAGTCGTGACCAGTTGAGTGCACCAGGTCGGGTGTGAGGTGAGGACAAATACTCGCCATCGTAGACATTGGATAGCGGTTGCGCTTTATCGTGAATCGGCAGAAGTTAGAATTCATGGACTGGTCATTGGATCAGGTCCCGGTGGCTGCTTAATGGTCTACGAGCTAGCTCGCCTTGTAACCAGAAGGTCCTGACTTCGAGCCTCGGAGGGTGAGTACTCATGAAGAGTCCCGAACAACTGGACAACTGAAACAGCTGTCCAGTACTCCCAACTGGTTTTCCAATGGTTCTCTAACCAATATCAGGTCATGATAAAATCTTATAATGCAATTGTCAGAATACTTCGCACTCCTTCGTTTCGTCTTAATGACTACGATTCTACGATCAGTAATTTCACCTATGCAGATCGAAAAAAATTCGACTTCTTGAGCATTCCCACTCTCATCAATTGTCATCGAAATACACTAGCCTGATTTAATGAGTCATTCATTTCAGTCTGTGTATTTATTTATTTATTGTTTGTGATTTCTTATTTGATGATTGATTGCCCTACTGAAGTGAACTATTACTGGGTTTCCCTTGGTATTTCGTTTCCATAGAAAAGCTGTCAGTATATAGTGTGTAGTGCATAATTTATAATTCCACATAGTAACGAAAGTGACAATAATTTATTAACATGTGATAACTGGAGAAATAAAAGGAAAATAAAGGGAAATAAAAGGTGACAATTATTTTCAACGTGATATGAAATACAAGAGGCTTAGAAACAAAAATTACGCAGGAATAGAACGAATTACACGTGTGAACAAAATGACAGTGGAAACAAATTAAAACCAAAATTTTCAACTTGAAATGTAAGTTAGTAGGTGTGAATATAGACAGCTTACAAGAGGCGTGGAAACAAAAAATTACACAGGATTAGAATATAATTGTAAAATAGTTATTCTAAATGGATTACAAGTGTGGTCAGGAGGAGCATGGAAACAAACTTTAAATAACTAATTTTATTAGTATACAATTGGTGGATGGTGGCTAGCAGTGGAATCCAGGATGCGCATTTCGTCCCATTTGGGACTCGTCATCTGGATGTACCTGCATTTCTCAGTGAGTGATGATGTTCCCACCGAGGCTCGAACCCAGTGCCCATAGTTTCAAACGCCAAAGCGTTATCCACTAGACCACTTGGGCCACGAGAGCCACCTCTTGTGCAACGGGTCATATATTTATTATTGAATTGAATTTTTTGATTTTCCCGTCGATTGATTGGACCGAAGTGCTCGGTCTCAGGTTGACATGTCGGCTTCTTGTGCAGATGCTTCGACGATCCAGTTATCAAATAATAATTTTGCATACGTTGTAACTGTTTTCTAATCCTATGCAATCTTGTCTCTAAGCCCCTTGTAATCCATATAATATATAATGCTCATGCAGTTGTTGGATTCAAGCTTCATCATCAGAAACGTCAAACATTTATTGACGGGCAAGTTAAATGATGATGGATAGCTGAAGTAGCTTCATGATTTCTGTACATTGATTGCACAGTTCCTAATTCACTTAGCTATTATCCTGATTAGGCTTAGAAAATCCTCTGGAGTCGTCATTTGACTAACTGGTTGAAGTGTATATACCACAAAAAGCAACAGAACACAATAAAGGGGGATTCAAAAAGAAGGAAATAATACACAGAAGTGTATTATTGTATTATTATTGTTCCCTTGGGTTCCTAGTAGGAAATAGGGCTTCAACTGCACGTCTCCACTTGCTTCTGTTTTTTGCTGTACTTTTCACCTGCATCCATGTTAGGCCACTCTGTTTCAACTCCTCTTCACACCATCTCCTCTATGTCACCCTTGTACTGACCACCAACTCGCCACGTGCCTCCTCCCTTTCGGGTTCCACTCGAGCAGTGGCCTGACGCGTGATGTCACCCAGCGGCGGTCTCCTCAGCGAGTGGCCAATCCATCTCCACTTCCTCCTGCATATTTGCTGTTGTTTGGCGATTGCTTCTTGTTTTGTTTGTTTGTGCCCATGGTTTCTTGTTGGTGATTCTTTCCGCCCCCCACCCGGCCATCTCATCTTCAGTATAGATCCAGCGAAGACAGGTAGGTAGTTGTTGATAAAGGTAACGTCTGCAACAGGCCGTTGGTGGAAATAGTCATTGTGACCCACTCGCCAACCTTCTGATCCGTTCTACACAGAAGGACTGACTGACTGACTTGACGTGTTTGTATTGAAAATCCGACGGAATTTTGTTGTTGATGCTGGCTGAGTGACGAAGATGGGTTTCCGGATTGGTTTCAGGTTGATGAATGTGTTTCTCGCCTTCCCGATTCTCGCTCGATTTGACATCCTCGTTTGTTCCGACTATCTGTAGTTGAGAGAATGCTCCCTAGCTAGATAAGTGAATGAAGTGAAGTAACCTCTTTCAAATTCCTACTCTTGATGGTGATTGGCGCTGGATATTGCTGTTGTTGTTGGTTGGTTATTTTCATAACCTCCGTCTTGTCTATGTCCACTTGGAAAAAGAATAATAATATAGAAGAACAATAGAATTGTATTGGATATCATAAGTTATGGAGAGTGAGTGCATCTGCGCCAGGCATCACAGAGAATGATTTTGAGCCAGCCACAGCATCAGTTGCCTCCGGCCTTCATTGGTTCTCAACATTTTGAGTACCCCAACCCTTACTTGGCTAGCTGGCTTAAACTAACTGTTATAGATTTCATTGACTGATGAACCACCACTAGCTAACTCTTTTCCAACCTGATCGATTCTGTGTCAGTGGCTAACATTGCCCGTTGTCGATGGAGGCGATGAGTAGATAGGCAGACACATGTCCTAACCATCCATCTAAATCGGTGCAACTACTTCACAACCTCGTCGTCAACTGATTTCCCCTCATCACCTACCACTCGATACCTAATCTCAATATTACTCACCCTGTTATGCCACCTGACATGGGAGAAGGAACGCGCACACCTATGATGGCCAAAGACGGCCAGCCTTTTCGTGTTGATATATATATCCATATGAATTGTGTGTTTGTTTGATAGTCTGATATATTTTGCTATGTATATATGGATCGATATTCCATTATAATTAGCCAATCATGTTAAGACTGTCTATTGATTTGTTCATTTTGAATATTCGCTCTCACACTTGTATTCACACACATGTTTGGACATTCATATATATTTTTGCTCTCACACTCTTGTGTGACATATTGATTCTCCTGGTGTTTTAGAAAACAGAAGTATCATCGCAAACTTAGTGGTCTTCTGATTTCCGTCTTTCTTGCGTCAGGACTATTAAATTCTCGACCAGTACATAACAAGAATTTGGCGACGAGTACATAACACGTGTCTTCCACTGTGTGAGTGGCCATGTCTCACAGGCAGCCAGTCGGCCATAAAGGAAGACGGATAACGGAGGAGGATGATCAGGAGGGCTTCATGTGCGTTTGTTACTTCCCGGATGCCTCCACCGTGGAAGTTCATTTTTTTCTTCGGGTTCCTGAAACGGAAAGAGAATGACTGCTGAGTTACCATCGTATTAATTACAAGCCTAAATTACCTTGTGAATACCTTAGTATTTTACTAGTAAATAGAATATCAATTCAGCCTACTGAATCTAACTTTTCCACCCTTTCTTTATCCATCATTCTAGATCCTGATGGCCTGTCGACGCTTGCTCGTCACTGGATTGCTGGCCTCCTAGAACACCTACCTGCTATGTTAGCAATTTGTTCACCGACTACAAACTGCTACAGACGATTAAATAAATTCTATGCACCCGGGCCAATCAATTGGGATTTTCGTGACAGATTTGTAGCAGTTCGGGTGAAAAATTTTGGTGAAACCAACACCTACATTGAAAATCGTATTCCTTCGTCCGCCTCCTGTCCATACCACGTGATGGCTGCTACTTTAGCCGCTGGTTTAGATGGTCTAGATCGTAAACTCGAACCACCAACTCCAGGTCAGAAACCAGAATTAGGCAATCTTGTAAAAATGCTACCAGGCACATTTCCTGATGCATTGCAATGCTTGAAAGATGATCAAATATTTGTGAAGAAGTTGGGAACAGATTTTTGTGACTGGTATATACGCATGAAAGAGTGTGGTGATTTAGCCTATCTTGGTCATTTAGATATCAACGACAATCAAGAAGAGACTCTGGCTTTTGAAAGATATGAATACCTAAAGTTCAGTTAAATAATATTAATAATAATAATATGTAAGCTAACAATAAACTGTTTCTCAAGGGTAACAATCAAAGAACCTTTACACTGTTTGAATTTTTCAGTAGTTATATTTGGTGTTGTTGTTTTTTCTTTTTAATTTCTTCTGTTACCTTGTACAGTGTGACTTCTAAGTCAAAAAAAACACAAGAAACGCTCTTCAAAAATAAAGACTCCTAATCTGTCCCTACTATTTTTACTGCAAAGTGGTGTTTATTGCCTAACATTCTTGTCTAGTGGTCTGTGTAAACCTTCCATGTTTTATTCGCTATTATTGGTACTTACTTGTGATATTTTTCTAAACAATTTCAAATAAATGCTCTTGTTTTTTTCTCTCATTGCATCCTACTAAACTGAAGCGCTCTAAACCACACACACACACACACATACCAACCAATCATGGATATTTTTTTTAAATGCACAAAATTTTCACAAGAGTTTATTGCATGATATTTCCCCTTTCCTGCAATCAATATCTTCAAGTAAAATATTAATTAATTGACAGTTGTATATCATGCGACACAATGGTATGTGAGATGCATCGCACGCCCATTCCATTATGTGATATATCTGCTTTTGTCTCCTTCAAGAAATCCACGACACCTACTAGTTGAAAGCCAATTGCAAGATATTCCAAAGTACATTTGGGAACCAGTTATCTCTTGTATTGGAACACGTTGCCATGCACAATCAGGCCACTCCTCAAGTTTGCTAGGAGCTTGCGAATCAGAATCTTCCAAACATTTTAAATACACACACACACACACACAAGAGTAGATTATACCAGTAGAGGTCATCAAATTTCAATCGATTAAAGCAAAGCGAATGAGAGAAAATATATATGCGGGGGTGAGTTGGGAGATTTTGGTAGCCGCCCAAGTTCTAAGCATAAGTTTCATTATCAGTTGGAACACAGGGTAGACGGCAGTAGTGTTTATTTCATTCGAACAGTTATGATGAACCTGTGTACTGTTGATATAACAAGCACCAGTAAACCTTGTTTTTATTAAAGATGATTGTTTCTGATCTTACCAACTGTTAGTTTAATGCTGTTATTCTGCATTGTTTGAGAACTCAATAAATTCACTTGATTTTTTTTTACAAGAACTCCGTTTTTTTAAATTGAATTTGAGTGAAGAAAGAACAAACATTGGTGCAGAATAACATGGATCCATTTTGCGTTTCATTGCTTCTCATCAGCTGTATGCAACAACCTATAATCTTTGATAAATAAAAGTCAGCGTAAAATTTAACATACTTTTCATACATTTATTCCCATCAATGAATTTGAACAAAGCAAAAACTACAGTGGTTTTAGCAGAATGAATTGATACCATCAGTGTTTATTTCGTTGCCTTCTCGTCAGCTGCTTACAGGGCAAAGTCAAAAACAATTTTAATATACTTGCACAGTGTTCATTTTAAACAAAAATCAGTCAATATATGCATACGTTATATATATATATATATATATATATATATATATATATATATATATATATATATATATATATATATATATATAATATTAAACACTATTCCGAACAATAATAATCATATACAATAGAAACTTTTCAGCATTACGCATTCATATGTACGAGAGATGAAAATATCCAGTTGCCAGACAGGGCAAAGAAAGACTGATAACTGCTTCTTTCTGGACGCATAAATCAGGTTCCAGGCGCTCGTTGGCTTCAGAAAAACTTGAGGAGAACTGAGCTCTTTTGCCTATTGATAATTGTGAACGACTTTTCGACGTCCACCTCATGACTGACCTGTGTCGACGAGATGTCTGGCGATGGCACTGTTTAAAGCATTTGTTCCCAGCTTTAGACATAAGCTTTTTGGTACATGTTCAGGAAATCGTAGATATGTTTTTCTTTCTGTCCTTCCAATGTAACTGCTCCCCAAGATACATGTAAATTTGTATATACAGTTGGAGTTGTTAACATGAGAAGGATATCTATCGATTTTTGATTGCACTAAAGGTGACCAAGTTGTTCGATAGACGGGGACGAGCTTAGTTGCAGGATAGGCTGTGGCTAGTGACATACTCAGCCTTCTGTTGACCATTGCTGCAATGTTTTCACCTTCATAATCAAGTTGAATGTAGACTGGCTTTTTACCCACTGTGATTTGTTTAACATGTGTGACTTCAGATCTTCCACACTTGTTGATGAACCTTTGAGGGTAACGATTGCTTTTCAACATCTTTTCAAGAAACTGAAATTCTTCTTCTAATTTCTCTGGAGAGCATATTCTCCAGCTCGCTTTATAGTACAGAGTCTTGACTAGTCCACGTTTAAAGCTATTTGGATAAAAGCTATTGAATTGCAAGTACTGTCCTTTCTTTGTAGGCTTTCGATAAACTGACTTCTGAAAACTACCGTCGTCTAGGCGTTGCATGGCGATTTCGAGGAATTGGAACTTTCTGTCACTTTTGTCATCGACAAGCATACTAGAAGAGTGTCATGGGGAGGTTAAACATCAGGATGATGAGGTAGCTGAAGTGTAAGCACATATATGTATATATACCTTGTTGGAGGGAAGTTTCTTGAAAATTAATTGACAGGTTTGTTGTTGGGTTGGTAACAAAAATTAGTAGCAATTACAGTGCTAGATGAGAGAAGATCAAAATGTGGTGTGTAAGATTATTATTTTATTATTACCATTATTCCCTTTAGTTCCGAGTGGAATATAGGTCTCCAACAACACATCTTCACTTTGTCCTTTCTTTCGTGGTCTTCTTCAGATTGGATCACGATTGCCCAAAATCTCTCAACTCCTCTTCACATTTTCCAACTACGTCATCAGTGTACTTCTTTCTTACACTTTATGTGATTAACCTTCACACGTATAAAAATATATTGAAAGTAGTTCTAAAGTGTTCAGATACAGTTTAAGTGTAGTGTGAATGACAAGTTATTATTATTATAATTATTGTACCCTTGGCTTCAGAGTGGAACATGGGCTTCAAAATCACATTTCCACTTTTTTCTATTTTCTGCCATCCTCTTCATCTGACTACACGACTGCCAAAACTCTCTCATCTCTTTCTCACACAATCTCATCCATGTCACTGTAGGACGACAAAAAACTCTTCGCTTGCCACTGGGATTCAATTCAAGGGCATAGCACGTGATGTCATTCGAAGGCATCATTCCTCAACGCGTGCTCGATTAATCCATCTCCGTTCTCTCCGATAAATCTGTTGAGCGATCGACTCTTGCTAGTTGGTTTGTTCCCAGCCAGAGTTTCTTCATTCCACCCCTTTCGGACTGGCCATTTAATCTTCAGTATAGAGCCAGCCAGTGAAGGCAGCTGCTGATAATAATCTGCTGTGACCTGTTGGAAATCCTCTCCGTGACACGCCTGCCAAGTTTCTGACCCGTATAGAACGACTGACTTGATATTTGTCCTGTAAATGCGAATCTTGTTCCTTATACTAAGACGGAGTGAAGAAGACTTCCTAATTGGTCTAAGGCTGTTGAAGGTGTATCTTGCCTTTCCCATGCTGGCTTTGACTTCTTCATCCGTGCACCCGTCTGTGGTTGAAAAGATGCTGGCTACCCATACAGGTGATAGTGATTGATGCTGGTTGTTGTTGTTGTTGTTGTTGTTGCAGTTCGTTGGTTATCTTGATCAACTCCGTCTTCATCTTTTCTATGTTCACCTGCAGTCCTTTCTTCACCGGCTGCTTTTTCAGCCAGTTCGTTGCGAGTTTTTCGCCTGTAAGTCTTCGAGTTTGTATGACGTAAGACATATATCATTCGCGAAATCGAGATCTTCTAGAGTATTCTCAAGGGTCGTTTAGCGTATTCGTGAATCCTCACTCCCATGCACAGTCTGACGCGTAATCCAGTCCACCAAAATTAAGAATATCATCATTGATGATAGATAATAGGCAGGCAGGCGGCCAGCTTGTCTTACTCCTGTATGCACTTCGAATGCCTCGCTGAGTTCTCCATATTGGGTCACCTAGCACATGGCACTACCATATAGCTGTTGAATGAGGTGAAATACAGGTAGAATTGCATAAAAGACCACTTAATCTCTATAGTCAGTCATCAAGATGGCGAAGCGACCGAAGGCGGTTCAAGGTTCGTGTCTTAATGCACTAGATGGTCACGGGTTCGAATCCCAGCACATGGTTGTAGCCGATGATACAGGAGGAAGAAGGCTCGTCAGCCGTGTACAAAGAACGTGTAAATCTCCCCCAGCTAGAGCGCTCTTTAACTCGAAATATTCGGCAGTAAGCCTATTAAACAGAGAAAGTGAGGCGTGAGACTAGCAACCCCACTTCGTAGAAAACAACAGCATCGCTACTCAAAATTCAAGTTTTAAATCTCGATGCTTGATGTTCCAGTTGGATCTCAGGAGTTATGCTTCATTTGAGAAGATTAACAGCCCTTCTTCCTCTTCTTCTGCAAATAAAGCTCAAGTTTTGTGCTTACCAAGTGATGCTTACAGAATCGTCAGACAGTGAAGAACCCATCAAAATGGCTTTTAATAACACCATCTGCGAAATCCAGATCTTCTAAAGTCTTCTTTTCAGTGTTCCAGCGTATTCCTGTCTTCTCGCTTCCATGCACAGTCTCACGCATAATCCAGTCCATCACAATTAAGAATATCATCGGTAATAATAGACAGCCTTGTCTTACACCTGTAATCACTTGGAAAGCCTCACCGCGTTATCAGTTGTGGTTAACCTGTTAGGTTGCATTGTCAGACAGCCAGCTGTTGAATAAGGTTGATAAAGACTAGAGGTAAGTGGTCAGATGAAAAGATGATCACTATACAGTATGGTGAGTAGAATTCACAGGGTGAAGAAAAGTTATTCGTTATGGAAGTCAAACAGAAAAAACAAGTCGAGGGTACCTGGGGCGTTGAAAGGATAAGTTTTATGAAGCTTAGAAGATCAATAGTCATTAAGGGATGAGTCGCCAGGGTAAGTGGATGCCAAGAACAGATTCAT